CTAGCTCGCTTTCTACTCTCTATATTTCTACTCGCAATTTTCACACTGCGGTACTCTAAACGGAACTATCAATTCTATACTTTCATTTCCTCATCTATCGTATAAACATTACCACTTTAGTCTGTTATTTGAAATTAGCATCTTCAACTATGAAAAGCATGTTTAAAATAAACAGATTTATTTTTGATCACATATTGTTGTCAATTCACGAGGGGCACGCAATACAGAGAACCGGTGCGTTGAAGTTAAAATGCAATCAAAAGTACTTAAAGTAATTAATGCGTTTTGAATTAGTACTGACGGCAATTAAAATTATCTCTCCGTGTAATTAATGTAATTAAAAGTATTGAAAATTTAATTAATGTACTTTAATTACGAAATTTCAACTGTAATTAATGGAGTTAAAATGGAGTTCTGCACTGTGTAATTAATGTAAATAAGGGGAAGTTTACCGGCCCGGAAATAAAAATATATTTTCGGCACGTTTTTATTTTTCTAAAAATATTGGTACAATTATCTAAAATCCAAGAAAATCAGTTTCTTCTTTAGATTTTTGTCAAAAATTAAATGCCAAATTATTTTTTCTATCTCATCATGAAAAAACAATGGACCCTTAGCAAAACCGAAAAGTCGATGTTTTGTGGTTTTTTGAGTCCAACTTTACGCCATAATGATTATAAAAAATGTTTTTGAACGTGAATTTTCTTTGAAAAATTAGAAAAATGTGATTTTTTTTAGATTTTTTATACCTTTTTTCAATATTTTTAGAAAAATCAAAACGTAAACATTTTTTTCGGAGCGGACTTCCCCTTAAAGCAGTAGTTAATGAAATTAATTTAATTACAGCCGTTGCCTGCGTTGGAGTTAAAGGTTATTGCGTGCCCCTAGCAGACCCCCTTCACTCTTTGGATTTTTTTAGAGACTGATAACAGCGCCAAACGGTTTGTGACGTGACAACGTTGAACTACAGCGTTGGAAGAAAACACGCACACCAACATCTATACATTTACGAACCCACACAACTGAGCGGACGGTACAGTGCAAATCAAAACACGAAGCGGTGTCATCACTCATCGTTTTCATTCAGCTTCGGCTACTTCCGTTTGCGTTTGCTTTCACCGGCGTTGACAAATACTTCCTACGTTATAAAATAGGAAAGTAATGATTATTCCAATGTAATTTTTGAATAGAATGCGTGCTGCGTTGGCCAAAGAAGACGGCATATTTTATTACGTTTAGCAATGATTTCGATAATTTCCAGTTGGAATAATTCTTTAGAGAGAGTGAATGCTTTTCCCATGTTTACTTCTATGCTTATTAAGGGGTTACGCCTACCTGCCTACTTTCAAAAAATCGATTTTTTTATTGTCCTAATCGAAAGTATATAAAGTCAAGAATATTTCCTCAAAAGATCAAGTTGATCCGATGAAAATTGTGAAAGTTATGCGACGTACAAAAATATTCACTTATAGTGGACTAAACCCAACTTGAAACTTTAAACGCGATTATCTCGGAATCATATTTTCAAAACCGGTGCCAAAATTTTCTCGAAATGTATACATTCGATTCGTCCGATTGGTTTTGATTTCTGTTCAGTACTATTTTGTGCAGTCCACGATCGTTCGGATTTCGTCTATCATTGATTTCGATTTTTTACAGCCGATCAAAGACAAATTTTAAGGATCAAAAATCGGCACTTCAACTTTGCAAGGCCGCCATTTTGTCAAAAAATTTAAAAAAAAAACGAACGATCAAGGACTAGTTTAACACATGCTTAACGATTTGGCATGGTTTTTTTTTATTTCAGATGATTACATCACAAACCGCAGTTGGCACCGCAAAAAGCGTTTTTTAGAACATCGTCCACGGGGAGCAGCCGTGCGGGGCACCAAGACCTCGTTTTTACAGCATCGAATGATAAATGTCCAATTTAATGTGTGTTCAATAAACGGCAGTAAACCGATTTTCAATATGTTGCGTCGTTTTCGAGAAAAAAAATCCAAACTTTCGCTTTTTTTTGGTCTTGCAGGTAGGCGTAAGCCCTTAAGATTCTTTTGAGCACCAGCTCCGCAAATCATCAATTACTATTAGAGATTTGCATCTTACTGATACCGGTGGTATATTGGAAACTCTTTCGCTCGAAAGCAAAACATATTACAAGCACATCATGATGCGCGCTTGGATGTGTGATTGTTTTCTCAAGTGTTTCTGTTGCGTACAAAGTGGTAATGATTGAACATCGGAAAAATCACAAACAAGTAAGAATTTTGGTATCGCAATATAATGATGATGACTTCGAGGATGATATCGTCCTCTTTCCTCGGCTGATCATCAACGTCCGCATTGACATCTATCATAGACGAGTGCACGGATGGATTTGAGTTCACTCACTCGACAAAAAGTGACACAACACTAAAAATGAACACATAAATAATGCTCGCATAACATTTGAAAATGGATTATCAATTTTTCCTAACAACTTGCAAGGTCATTTTCACGAGAACCGAAGTATGCTTACGTAAACCAAGAGCACTATCGGGAAGGGGAGAATTTCTCCTACCCGATGGTGTTGTTAGTTTGCGTGGGCGTATTCGGTTCGCGCGAAAAGGGCTTAACAAGTTTTGTGTACAAAAGTTTATAGGCCCGTTCATTTTTAGTAAACAGGGCCCCGCTGTTGTGTCACTTTTTTGTCGAGCGAGTGAACTCAAATCCATCCGTGCACTCGTCTATGCTGACACCTGTCAGTTATTGAGCCCAGGTGGTGAAGTTGGCGGGGAACTCCCAACAGTTTCAATGTGCAGTCAACAGATGGCACTGCGATCACATACGGGTGGTAATTATTTGCCTTGTATGAGGAATTGGTTAGTGGGATATCTTGTTAATTAGATATCTTTGCCCCTAGTCAAATCATCCAAAAATATTCACGTTTATTTTCAACACGAATATTTTTAAAATAAACGTAACAATATTTTTGTTTAAACATTATTAACAATGGCTTCAAACATGGAATACGTTTGAAATCAACCTAGTTTATGTTTGTGGCCAGAAAAAAACTGATTTTACGTTTAAATTTACCTCAAATATGTTTGTTTCGACGGTAAATTTTTCTGCGTGAGCTTTTAACCACCGACGAATTTTAACCTCGCTTTTAACACACGGCAAATGAGAACAACCCAAATTTGAGTTTAGTTCACTCATAATCACCCAAAGTGTAGGAACTCAGCGATGAGTAAAATTTGTCTCATGTTTTCCCAAGTTTTTCCAGGGAAAAATTCCCGAATTTGAGAAAAGTAAAGATTGGATTCACTCAGTCTATCCAGCTTTCCATTCTCAGTAATGGCGGCCTGTTTGTATGAATAAACGTATCCTTCCCTGTGCTACCTGGAGGTTCGGATTTTGACCCCTCCTTTTCTCTCTCCATGAACAGAAGAAAATGAAACAACATACGCCCTCCAGTTAGTGTCAAAAAGCACAGTGAAGGATACATTTATTCATACAAACAGGCCGCCATTACCGAGCATGGAAAGCTGGATTGGTATTACTCCGAGACTGCATAAAATTTTCGTCAATTTCCTCATTTTCCGGCAGATTTTGAAGGTTTTCCACAGGAAACCATGAGACAAATTTACTCATTGCTGAGTTCCTGCACTTGTGGTGATTATGAGTGAACTAAACTCAAATTTGGGTTGTTCTCATTCGCCGTGTACGTTTTTATTCACGGAATTAGGTTTTGCACCGTCGGGGTTAACCTCAATCTGATGACAGTTCAGTGGTACTGTTTACGTGGACTTAGTCGTTTTTTTCTTGGGTAGATTTTCTCGATAATTTTTCAGACTGCAGTGAGATGTAAACCACACTTCTGCATTGTCCACGAGCAACATCCTTTCACCGCACTGTTTCTCGACAATTTTCAAGTTAAAATTCAGAAATTTTAGAATTTGTTTTTTCGAAAAAACGACTAAGTGCTTGTAAACAGTACCACTGAACTGTCAAAAAGGTTCAGCCTATTAACACTGAGTTCATTTGTGACGTCACGCTGCAGAACCTAATATTCGTACAATAATAAAAAAAAAACAGAAAATGGTTGAAACTTTCTCTCTTCCTCTTTGCGTAATGTTCACTCATCTTAATTTTACCGGGCATTCAAAATGTTCAAGGAACTGATAATATGATCACTCAATTTATCCACAAAACGGAACGCTTTGTGTTCATTCGAATAGCTCAAGAATACTAAATTAATAAAATTCCACACATTTTTATTAACGAATTTCCATGTGAAATTCCACATGATTTTCATGTGACCAGACATAAATATAATCCACGCAGAAGCACACATGAAATTTAAGAATCAAATTAATAGTATGTGTGGTTACACATGGTTTTTAAGTGTACATATATTAAGTATGTGTCCGACACATAGATATCATTTGTTGATCACATTGCAAAAATTAATGTGCGCGACACATAAAAACAATGTTTGAAATTTTATCAGTGTAATCTTCTTGCTTTTACTTCCATCTTCTTTCTTTTCTCTGCTGGCACTAGGATCCATGCCTCATATTCAAAAATCTTGCAAAGTTCGTAGTTCGGTTTCCTCCCATACCACTTCTCGAACGGACTCACCGATAGACCGGGTCGGAAGACGATTCTAAACGTATGTTGCCGTCAACACCGCTTCTCCATAGAATCTTGAATCCAAGCCCGCATTCAGTAGCATACACATGGTAATCACCTTAAGGTAACGATTTTTCCTCCATATTTGGTTCGGTTCGATTCAAATGTTACTTTCGACGTAATGAAAATTTGCTCTTGATTGAGTCGTTTGTGCTCATTTTCATCTGAAGCATGGCCAAGTTAAGTTATACCAAAAAATGATTTCATCTAAGCGTGAACGTCGAACTGTCACATTGATGTGTGGCTCTTCTATTTACCGTGTAGTGTTTTACATAAAAGTCGTGAAAAAGTCAAGTGGGATGATCAGTGGTGTGATTTTTGTGAGTTATTTTTGGATAATATTGCATTTGTATTCATAAAAGTGCGGCTGTGAATTTATTGTTTGCTGTTAATCATTTTGCCAAAGCCGAAAATGTAAGTAGATTATCAATAACTAAACATGAGCCTGCTGGCACCGCAGTGCATCGTCATGCAATCGATTTTTCATTGACTCAGTGGAAGCAAAACCTGTCATTGTGAGCGGCGTGGTGTGATGATTAGAGTAAAACCAGGATTGACTAGACATACAGTATTGATCGATTATTCAAATGTTAGCATAAGCTGGCAACTATGCGTGTGTATTAATATTAATACGAGCTGTCGAGCATTGATTGAAACATCTTGACAATCGAAAAGAGAAACAGTTTTATTCCATGAAAATTGTTTCGTACATTTTGTGTTAAAACCAGTTCTTTATGATTAGCATGAATTAGAAAATAATACTCTTTATAGCTTATTGACCCTTGCGATTCCTTATTTGGTTTGTTACCCTAGTTTCAACCTTCGGTACAAAACAAATGCGAGAGTCTGTAAAAATTAGTCAAGTTAACGAAATGAATGTAAAACAGACAAACACAAATATCAGCTGATCTTCAGGGGTATTCACCCATCTTGGAATAATTATGTTGATATACTGTCATTTGGTAGAATGGTTTTGGATGTCTTCTTTTTTTATTTTACTTCATTCAGCATTTTGAAAAAAGGCAATTTTAATTTTGTTTTCAATGATCTTGTTCTATAGTTATTTGAACATGCGCCGGTGACATTACTAGATGAATTTTTCAAATTGTCCTAGCTGATTTGATTTTATCATCCTTGATCAATTCGATTAGCTCTAAGTATTTGTATTTTTATTTATTTAGTGTAAAGTTAGTCTGTAGTTGACACTTTTTACCAGGTCAAGGAAGAATACATTATTAAAGAATAAAAACAAACCAGCATAAGGCTGAAAGTCTCTTTAATAAAGAAACGAACAAAAACACATTATTAAAGAAGAACTGATTTTAAACAAAAAAGTATTAGTTTTTCATCGTACCTAGCTATTAATCAACATTTATTTTTACGGTGCACGGACGAATAATAAAAATCTTCAGTAGACTAAGGGCCAATTTCTTCACCACCGCATAGGCTTTAAACCAGGCCCCTTATTGTGCAAGTCTAAACAAACTCAACTTGAGTGCATAATGTGGTCTAAGGTTTAACCATATGAGTAAACCTGGTTTAAAACTTAAGCGCATGTGAAGAAATTGTAAATCCGGTTTAACCCAAGTTTCACCAAAATTTAAAACCTGGTTTTAGCCGTCTTACAAAGAAGGGTATACATTAGGGTGGTTCAAAATAACGGTTTTGCTCCATCAAGCTCAATCGATTCTAAATCAGATCCTGATGAGCTTTTTGAGCGTCTTGTTTATTTCAATTAATTCCGTTATAATTGCTCATCTTTTGACATATACGCGTATTAAGTCTACTACAAGCAGACTTCATCAGTGCCAAGTACACACAACTGAAGAATCAATTTTTTTTTAAACTTTAAATGATCTTCATTTCTTGTATTTGTGTGTTTAAATGTATTACTTATCAAGTGACACAGATGCGTCTTTTCAACTTTAGTTCTTTCGAATTTCAATTATTATTAGTTACAGTTCCTAGTCATATCAGGCCTGTTTTAGAGAATGACCACCTTAGTGGGATTGGTTTGTTTTCAATTGGAAAAAGGAAACTACTTATAACTACTATTTACAACTACAACTAACCTACAACTACTATATACACCTACAAATTGCTTATCAAAGCATGTTCTGATATATTAAATTTTTGTGCAAATTGAGTATTAATTTTGTTAATTCTGGAATCTATTTTGGGAATGCCTGCCAGTCAGTTTGTTCACCCTTGAGAGGCGGGATCTCGGCAAATCAGCGGATACAGACACCTAACCAAGCCAGAACACTTGACTACAGTTTTGTCTTCATGCGAACGGAAGAGGAGCTTTTTATCGAACAACATCCCGAGATAGCTTACCTCGGCAGACCACTCAACCCTTTTTTTTTGTTTTATTGTTTTATTGTTGTTTTACAGCCCCAATGATGTTAACCTTTTCAACTATGGTTAAAAAAAACATTCAAGCATGGTCATAACATAAAAAACATTAAAACCATATATCTTATAGTCAGTTACTCCCGGAAAATAGAAGAAACCTTTCGACGAAGCGCATCACGGGAGAGATGAAAGTCGAAGACATATGCAACTCTGTTGAATGTTCTCTGCAGTCCGCAAATCGCACCGTGTGCGCCCATAAGTACAGTACAAAAGGGAGCCCGTTTCAGTTTGGGCGATTGCCGATGGAGCAACATGATCGCTTGAGTTTTGGAGGCATTGATTTTGATTTTCCACGTGGTGCGAATAGGAAAAACATGCAACCGTCTGCGAAGAGAGGAATGTCGGAAGTGTAAATGCTGTAAATCAAGGGGCCCAGCAAACGCATTGCGGAACACCTGCTGGGATGGAAAACGTGTCTGAAAGACAACCAATCAACGATACCTTAAACGACCTTTGCTGGAGGTAGTTACGGGTTATTTTAATCAGATGTAAAGGAGGAGCGACCCCGGCGTAGTGGTTCAAGATGATATCGACAGCATTTTATTTTTCGGCAGCGTCACCGAAAGCTTCGTTCGTTCGACCAATCGTGCCATCGGACTGGCCCCGAGTTTCCTTCCTCTTCTTGCTGCGTTTTTTCCGTCACAGCTGGCTGGATATTCCCATCCATGGGGAGAACAGCAAACCTGTTGAATGTAGGTTAATACACCCGAGCTTCCTTCACCAGGCTTCGCGAGCGATGCTTCCCCATTTCGGGGCACGCACTAAAAAAAAACCGCGGAAGAGAGAGTGCGAACACTATTTTTTTCCTTCATTTGTTTTTCGTCGATCTTGTTTTCCGTGCTGAGCACCAATGCTACCGACGCCAGGAAGGCAGCCCCACACCTGGACCCTACATATCGACCCATCAACTCATGAAACGGGGACCAACGGCTTTACTTCCCTCCGAAGGAAGGCGTGATCAGAGATGTTATGCCTCAGAACATCCCGGCGGCGCCGACTGGGATTGAATCCAGGCCTGCTGGGGTGAGAGATAATCACGCTTACCACCGGCGCCGCTAGCGCGAACACTATCGCCACAAACTTTTCGAACAACTCGAGAGAGCGAGCTGACACCGGACTGAACTGCTCGACGATCACTGAAGAATACATCTATCATCTAAAACTAATATACTAATCAAGGGTTAGAACGATGAGAACAAAAAGTTAATATTTCCCATAATAATTCCCATATAAACAAGAAAGGGCCAGTATGAATGTTTCTTTTCGTATATTTAACGTCGGTCTCTGTTCCGCAATCTAGTGCCAATCACCGACGGACATCGACTGCCATCCATTGACGGCAATCGAATGTGCAGGAAGGCAGCTTCCACACCTGCGTAGGATATCGCACCCATTTATCAACACACATGGACCGGGACCAACGGCTTTACTTCTCTTCCGAAGGAAGACGTGACCATAGATTTTTATGCCTCAGAAAAATCCCACCGACCTCGGCTGGGATTGAACCCAGACCCATTGGGGTGAGAAAGCAGTCACGCTTACCACTACACCATCGGTGCCGGCAGTATGAAAGTTAGCGCGTCTAAATTTTGGGAGAACTATCAGGACCTGATTTGAAATCGATTGGGCTTGGTTGTGCAAAATCGATATTTTGAACCACCCTAAAATATATGCATATATCGCTTGGACTTTCGATACGAGGCCCGGAAGACCGAGTGTCATATACCATTCGACTCAGCTCAACGAGATCTGAAAATGTATGTATGTGTGTGTTTTTTATTACAGTAAAGACGAAAACTTCAATACACACTTAGAAATTATTACCCGAACTTTCAACAGCTGAACTGTTCGGTAAAAATCAAAATGCCTGATTAGATTTAAGACTTGAAAACAAGAAAAAATTCACCACATTCGCAAGACTCGACTATTTAGACAAGGCTGACAGTGTTTTTAAATTAATATTAAGTCAACCTGCCTTTGAAATGAGGGTCAAAGTTTTACCGAACGATCAGCTGTTGAAAGTTCGGTAAAAAATTACCCTATATGTTACACCCTGGCACGGTGTAGTATTCACTAGTGGCCTAATGTCTCCCCACTAAAACCTCCTTACTCGCGCATGTACCTCTTATAATCTCAGCGTTGCTAGCTCGCTGATTGTTTCTTCACATAAATTACAGCTCCGACAGTATTTGAGCGACTACCCTGCTGACGGCATCCCAGATGCTCTCCTCTTGACACATTTCCTCGACGACAGTCTCTGCGCTAAGGGTAGGCATCTCCCTTCGCACTGCTTGAGGATAAAGCCCTACAGTAAAAGTATGGACGACTGTCACCACAAAACTGAAAAAAGCTGGTCCAATCGAGCAAAGCGGTGCATTTTGACGGTTCGATTGGAACAACTTTTGACAGACGTCCATACTTTTACTGTAGGGCTTTACTTGAGGACGGTCGAAGCAATGTTGCTGATTGATGAGCGAAGTCGCGATTTGAAACCGACAATAATCTCCACGTGAGAGAACTACAAACCAAAACTGTCTCTGTTCATCAGTCACCTACCGCTTCAAGAGAAGAGCGAAAGAGTGCCCTTTACGTTTACGCCTTTATGAAATGCATAAATCCATGTCGATACCGAGGAAACTCGGGCACTGAGTGAGTGCCGCTCGAGTTTCAGGTGGCTTGAATCACTGATTGAGTGAGTCAATTGGCGTTGACGGCGACTCTGTAGCTCTTTACTCCAAATTTTTCGACGGTGCCGTCAGCGCCAATGGTTCAGCAAGATTTTACTTGTTATTATGTACGGATACGGAGACACGACAAAAATAGCGAAAGAGAGTTTTTTTTTCTCCCTGCCTGCCGCAGTCCGCGTTTTGTTTCATTGGTGAAGCTTATTGTTGTTATTCTTACTGATGCAGATTTTGCTGTCTTCACCCACTAAGGCTGTGAACCATTTGCCGAGTTAAATTCAACTCGTAGTTAAAAGTGACATTTCGAAAGTTATT